CACTACTCCAATGGATTTTAGTGCAGGCACAGAGCACTGGCTGGCCCTAGTGGCAGCTGTGGAGTAATGAGGTCCAAGATGAAGAATCCAGGAACTGGTGGGCTTAGAAAGGAAATGGCAAGATGTCTTCTCCAGTATGAGAGGAAATTACCTTGATGTTTAGTTTGGATATTAAGGAAAATTTCTTCACCAAAAGCACTGTGAAATACTAGAACATCTTCTCAGGAAGTGGTGGAGTCCTCATCCCTGGAAGTGCTCAAGACATGTGTGGATGTGGCACTTGAGAACGTGGTAGTGGTGGAGCTGGTTGACGGTTGGATTTGATGATCTCAGAGGTCTTTTCCAACTTTAAGGATTCTGTGATATCCATAACTGGGAAAAGCATCTGGAGGAAATGCTACTCCCCAAAAGTGTGAGGCTGGGGCTGCTGGACCCCAAGCAGAAGCACAAGCTCATGTGGGAGGTGTCCTGCTGTCCTCCAAAGTCCTGGAGATACCAGAGTGGGAAGAAAAATTCATTTTAATGTGTCTCCCTGGGCCAAGGAAGATCCTGCCAGGGCTGGAGATGCCTGAGCCTTGCTTAGCTCCATGGAGAAAAAACATCCCTGGTTTTATGAGAACACGAGAATCATCATGTTGAGAGAGAAAGCTTTCAAAGCAGTCTGGGATAGATTTCTTCCTTGAAAGCATCAACAATTTTCAAGCATAGCAACCTTTCCCAACTGAGGTGTTCCAGGATTTTATACACTATTATTTAAAAATTCATGAGCAGAAGTCTTGCCCCTTTGCTTTCATGTCATAACAGCTAAAAATCTTTGTTCACACAGAGTTTGGCTGGGAAATATTGTGGATATTGGAATTCAGTAGTGCTGGCCTGAATTTCTGAACCAGTATCACTGGGTGAAATTACAAACACTGAACTTACTCAGATGAGTATGAAAGACCAATACAAATGTTCCCCTTTTTCCACTCTGTGAGGGCTTTTTGGACATGTTTATGCTTGAAAGGTATGGATTAAATAACCACATTTAAATTGTCAGTGCCTGAGGAACATCAGCTCCTGAGATCCCATGCTACTGGAATTTATCTGGGGATCCTATGAGTGTTCACAAAACCAAGCCACAGAAATGTACAAATGCCAATTATCCATGTTGTACCTGAGGAGGAAAGTTCTCCTGGACTGTGTTTGTGTGGCAAGGTTCCGGTAGTGAGGGGTTAATGGGGCGGATTCTCTGAGGAGCTGCTGGAAGCTCCAACGGTGCCTGGATCCAGGGGATCCAGGATGAACCTGCTACTGACCAAGGCAGAGATGGCAGTGATGCCTCTGGGATAACTGATTTGAGAATGAAAATTGTTATTGTGTAGTTGTAATTGTGGCCAGAGAAGAGTGGAGTGAGACCATGGGAGAGGACCAGCTCTGCAGGCACCCAGGGCAGGGCAGGAAGAGGGGCAGGAGCTGCTCTAGGCGCTGGAGCTGAGATTCCATGGGGAAGCCCATGGGAATGCAGCTGTGCCCTGGCAGCCCAAGGAGGCTGCCGTGATCCACCTGCAGCTCCTACAGGTGCCCACACCAGAGCATGGGGACGCTGAGAGAGGTGGGAAGCCCATGTTGGAGAAGGAACTTGTGGATCCAGGGAGAGAGAGCCCACACTGGGGAAGGTTTGCTGATAGTACTTGAGACCTATGGGGACCCACAGTGGAGCAGCCTTTTCCTGAAGACCTGACCCCATGGAAGTGGATGCACATGGGAGTGGTTCATGAAGAGCTGCAGCCTTTGGGATGGACTCATGGAGAGCTGTGTCCCGTGGGATGAACCCCATGCTGGAGCAGGGGAAGGACTCCTACACATCTCCATGGGGAAGAAGCAGCAGCACAAACAACACAAACCCCATTCCCATCTGCCTGTGCCACTGGAGGGGAGGAGGGAGAGCACAGGAAGGAAGGAGAGGTGGTAGGAAGATGTTCTTAAGATTTGTTTTACTTTCCATTACCCTGCTGGGATTTTGTGGGTAATAAAATCAATGGACTTCCCCAAGCTGTTTTGCCCATGACAATATTAGGTGAAAGATCTCTCCCTGCCCTTATCTCAGCTCCCGAGTCCTTCTTTATATTTTTATTCCTGTCCAGCTGAGGAGGGCAGGGATAGAGCAGGGTCAAGCCACCACATCTCATTGAAAAAAAAAAACCAACCCACAACAATAACAACAACCCCCCTCCCCACACACACCAGTAAAGTCTTTTTCCTTTGAATGCCTTTCAAATTTAAAAAAAAAAAACCAAAAAAAAACCCCACAAGAAAATACAGGAAATAAAATCCAAAAGCTGACTTTAAGTAGGTTTGACTCTAATAGCTGGTTTCATGTTGGATGGAAAAGGATCAGGTTGGATATATTACCAGCTAAAATATGTTAATGGAATTTAAATGACATTGTACCTGCCTGGGGAACTGATTTTAGGATTTTAGGCAAACTGCAACACGGCATCTGTGACATTGCCAGTTTTCTGTAGGCACTAATGGAACTGTTCACAAAAAGCAGAGCTGGATGACAAGCAGCAGGTGAATGAGCTTGGAGATCAGTGGTTTCGTAATTGTATAAATATTTTTTTCCCCTAAAAAGTCACTGTTGCTTCCTAATAAGAACTAGTTAAAAAGCAAAATTCCTCCTTGAAATGGCACTGACTGCTTGGACCAAGGATCTGTGTCCTCAAAAGGGTTTGGCACAGTACCAGCCAGGAGCTTTGAGTGAGTCCTGACCCTCCTCCAGGAGAAGCCTGTCAAAGAGCAGGGAGTACATCCAGAAGAGCTGCAAATCAAGGGAATTGTGCAAAGACATGAGGAGGCCTGGCAAATTAGTCACATCCACGGTTTCCTGGCATGGAAAAGGCCTGGAGATTTAATGGCTTGGTTGAGCTGCCTTGCTTCATCCATTTGTTTGTAAAATGAAAGCCAAGAAGCTTATCCAGCCTTTTTTTGTGATCCTGGCAAGCCAAACTTTTAACCCTTTCCAGCTTCTGGCACCAGAAGCTTTGGTCGACTGAGTCCTATTGCTGGACAATCTTAAGAAGAAAGGTGCCCCACCACTGATAGTAAATATGAACTGTGGAAAGCAGCTACAGGCACGTAAGGGACAGTGACAAAAACCCCAAACCAGGCAGAAGGAACGGGCTTAAGCTACAGAGTGTGCCCATGTTTCACCCTGAGAACAATGCACACACACCTGCAGCTGCAAAATTCCAGGGAAAAAAACAAAATCATGAAGAGTCATGGAATCAACAAGGCTGGAAAAGATCTCCAAGATTATCAGATCTGACCTGTGACAGAACCTCATGCCAGAGCACTGAGTGCCACATCTTGGACAGCTCCAGGGATGGGGACTCCAAACCTCCCTAGACAGCCCCTGCCAATGGGATTGAGGGAGGAGAGGAAATAATGAGATAGCCAAGGGTGGATTTCTTAAAGTGGATTTTGTTGTTGCAGCAAGTAACAAGAACTTCAAGAGGTGTTCAACAGCACAGTCCAGGGATAGCTCTAAAGAATCCCTCCATGGTTTATTTTGGTTGGTTTTTCCAGAGCTGAGCTTCAAACACCATATCTCAGCTCACATACAACTATTTTCTGCTAAGCACTGTGCCATGATTAACAGGATTTCCTTTCAAAACCCCAACTATCACCTTCAGAATGTTAGAATTAATCTGCTGGCCACTTAATCCTGGGGCAAAATGAATGAATCTCACTCTAGATGAAATAAAGAGGAAGGAGCTTTTCAGCCCCCTTTTTTTTACATCCCAGAGATTATTTCAGGAGCATAACACAGCCTGAAACAACCTGCAAGTCCTTACTTTACATCTTCAGATTTCCCAGCTGGAAATTTGAGATCAAAACCACTGAACTCACAGCTGTGAGAACAGTTCACGAAGAACAAACCCACAAGTTTTAAGATGAATTATCACAAAAATTGTAACCAGATTTTTTGTGGAAAAGGTGGAGACTCTCTTATAATTACTCCATGTTGCCATTAAATTGTATAAAGTCTTCCTTGTTATTTTTGCATGTGTGTGTGTGTGTGTGTGTGTGTGTGTAAATTCTGAGTAAATCCAGAACAGGAAAGCAAAGCTTGTAAGGTGAAGAAGCTAAGAAGAGCATGAGATAGAAAAAATAAACAAGATTTTCTTCTGCCACGATGACCACAGGTCCAAATCACAAAATTTTCATGATCGCTCTGTGGCAATGTGTCAGAGATGTCTCTGTTTCAATCACACATCTTTCTAGAATAGCCCAGATAAAGCATTCTTGTTATTTATTAATTATTAGAGATAATATTTTAGATCTGCTTTATACACAAGGTCAGATGTACAGATATTTCTCCCCACCCTGTGCTCTAATTCCATGGCAGAGCTGCTGCATTCCAGGTACCTTAAACAATCTAGCTGCAAACTTTCAGGAAAAGTAATTCCATTGCCTCTGCCTGATCAATAAGCACATATCCTTAAATAGTCCACCATTTTATAACATGAAAATTTAAAAAAATCAAAATTTTGTTATATTAAAAACAAGTGCTGGTGGGGTTGGCTGTGGGGTCATGGATTGGTGCAAACATGGAAGACTTGGAATAGTTCCTGATAAAAAAAATGTTATTTTTGAAAGAGAAGTGGGATTTTTCCAGATTTTTTTCTGGAGAGCTGGACAGTAAGTTGTGGAAAAGGGCTGGATATAGTACAAATCACTAATACAGCTTCCACATCTGGGAGCAGGGAAGAAGAGGAGCAGGTATCAAATAGCAGAGAATAAATAGAAGATTAACACCTGTGAATCTTGTCTGTTAAAGTATAACTCAAATCAGCAGCAAAATCCCTTTGTCTGTGATCAAAGGCAGGCTTCACCCCCACCAACCAGAGGAAAACTGCCCCAGATTTCAGACAGGTTCAGTTAAGATCCATGAAAAGCACACCATCAGACCACGTGGAGGTAGGCAGTGCTGTCCAGCTCTCCGGGACACTCACCCCGTCAGGTCTGCCGTCCGAGGCTGTGACGATGAGGATGTAGCGGTCAGTGCTCTCTCTGTCCAGGGGCTTTCCCAAGGCCAGCAGGCCAGAGCTGAGAAGGAAACAAAACCAGGACATGTTAGCAGGGTGGCTGGGAGAGGTCTATGACCACCTGAGCTCCACCACCTTGCTGACACCAAGGTTCCTTGTTGTAGGAGCTCTTGGGCTTTCTGTGGGTGAAGGCCAAGAAAAACCATGAGCCAATTCCTAATGCTCTCCACTTGGATACAGGAATAATCCTGGATTAAAACATCAACCTAGTAAGACTACAAAAGCTAGAGCTCCACTGAACACAGAACCCTGATTTGCTCCTGCTGCATTTGAGCTATTCAACTATCAAAACATATTTATTTTGTATTTTTAATATTAATGCTGCAATAAATGGAAGAGAGAAGGGCAAGCAGGGGATTAATCACCGAGGAGTTCTGATACCTAGCAGGACTGAGCAGGAAACTCTGGGAATACAACACACACAGACTTCAGGGTGAGTCTCCTCAGGGAGAGGCTACTGGGGAAAGTTACACATTGTGTAACTTCAGAGTAAGGCCTTCAAGTATCCCCTAATAGTTAAATGTTGCTGCAGCCACAAGGCTGGTGGAAAACAAATCCCAGAGTGGTTTGGGTTGGGAGGGACCTTAAAGCCCATCCTGTGCCACCCCCTGCCATGGATAGGGACACCTTCCACTATCCCATGTTGCTCCAAGGCCCATCCAGCCTGGCCTTGGACAATTCCAGGGAATTGGGATCTTATGATTATTGAATCCCATTTTAAAAGGACAACAAAAGAAGGGTTAATTGGAAGCCACATAAAAAAAAAGTTTGAAAGCATTGCAAACTCCTGTAAGTGCTGACAAATTAAACAATTTGGATTTTTCCTCTGATCTAATTCCCTCCTGCAGATGTCTGGAAGCCACCCAGAGGGATGAGACCGCACCACAGACTCACTACTTCTATGTTAGGAAGGATTAGGAAGTTACAGTGTGGACAATCCTGCCTAAGGAAGCTCGACACTCCTTAACTGAGCTGGCACCAGAGCTCTGAACTGTCCCAAACCTCCACATTTCATTTACACAATTTTGGTGCCTGCTGGAACCTGGGCAAGATTGTGACAAAGTGACAGCACCTCTCCTAAATCCGCAGGGAATTTAAAAACTATGGATCAAGGGTGATAGTTATCCTGGGCAGCTTCTCCCATGGAATTCCACCAAATATCTTAAGAAAGATGTAACATCACAAGTTTTTGCAGGTCAAAATCCACCCCAGCTAGGATCTGGAGATCCTGTGATTTCCCAATGGATGCCAATGGATAGATCAGGCATAAGCAGTGGTCAGGCACAGCTCTCAATTGTATTTGCTGTACCCACATTTGATGTTCAGGACCCAGAGCATGAACAGTGACTTGTGCAGAGATTTTATTGAAACAGAAAATCCAAACCAAAGCACAGATTCTTGCCAAACAAGGAGGTCTCCCTGGCTTGACTGGACTTCTTCAGAACACTTGGATGTGTTACACCTGGACATGGGGTTTTCTCCTAAATTATAACTTTCTGCAGGGTTCCTTCTCTAATTTCCTACTCTCAGAGAAGACCTCAGGAAACTGCTTCCAGGCCAAGACTTCCCAACAGAAGCAAATCCCAGCACTTCCTAGGAAGCTGTTCCTCCCAGTAAATACCACAAAAAATGGTGGAAACTGGGAGTGGGAGCACAATAATACCCTAGGATTGAAAGGTTGGTGGGGAAAGTAATATTTCAAGAGTATTTCAGGAGATGTTCCAGTCAGTCTGCCTCATGGTTATCCAATGAAAATTTGTGTTTGTGTCCTGTTGAGATTCTTTCAAAAAGGAAAATTTCCACTGAATCTAAAACACTACCCTGGAAGTTGGCAAAAACCAGGGGTAAATGAATTTTGTGTATGGTTTTTAACTAGTTTTTTAACTAAATATGGAGCTGACATGTCTTGGATCCCGAAGAGAGGAGAATGGAACCTCCAGCATCCGACCTCCTTCTTCCAGAGTGAGATTCCCAATGCTGAGGATTCCTGATCCGGGGAAAATGATGCTCCAATGGGAAAGGGAAAGGGCAAAGTGTAACACCATAAACAGGGATAGGCCTGAGAAAGTTTCTGCATACATTTATATATTTTAAAATATATAAGCACATGTTATTATTTAAAATACATATTTATATACATTTTATATCTAGTAACTTATTATTGTTGATATATTGATGTATTTCATATAATCACATTATCATTTAAAATATGTATCTCTAATTGATATATATATCTTATAGTATTATATATACAGCTATAGTTACTATAACTATAAATATAACAGCTATGTATCATTAATCCATACATGTATATGGATATTTATATTATTTTCCACAAAAAAATGTTAAAATTCCATATATACATCAAACAAACATGATCCCTATTTTATATCTATCAATATACACATATTAAATCATATTATATTTTCAATTTTAGTTACTTGATTAGAGTCATAATTGGGTTACTAATCCTAATTTGATTAAGACTTTAGTTAGATGAAGGAAAATTCTTAGTTTAGCAGACAGATATGGCCTACAAGAAGGCAAAACAATCAGCCATAATATATAAGCATGTGGCTATAAATAAATATATTTAATATGTTAAATATATGTATTAAATGAAATTCATTATGTTACACAGAAATATCTATTTTTCAGCATTTGCTCAAAACACTGCAAGAAAATACAAACAAAAAAAATTTATGGGGAAAAAAGAATAAATAAAACATGAAAGACTTAAGTAAATTATTTACTGAAAAAATATATTAAAGTGGAGCTGACAATAGAATACTGACATCAAACACTGACCTGTGTGAATCCATGTGCACTTCTCCAGTATTGTCTACCATATTCCCTTTTTTACCTCCTTCCTACCTCTGGAAAAATTACACTTGATATGTCTTTTGAATGATGAACATCATTCAAAAGACATGTTAAATTATAAATAACCTAAATTATAAATACCCTAAATTTTATACCCTAAATTATTAATATCCTGTGTTTTCCCCCAGGATTCTGACTCCTTTAACACTCCATCTTTCCAGCCTCACTCTTTCCAGGAAACACAAGGAGGTAGGGAATTGCCAGAGGTGGTGCTCAGGTTCCAGAGCCAGAGAAGGGAGAACAAAACCATCTCCCAACCCTTGGATTGAGGAGGAAAAAGATGGAGTAAGGAGATGTAGAATTGGGATTATCCAGTCCTCATGCTGCCAGGCAGGAATTACACTGGAGTTAACTGCATGCTCCAGGAAGGAAAACAAGAATCCAGAAAAAGGGAGCGAGAATCCTGGTCATGGGCTCTGCCTTGGCCTTTGAGGATCCAAACTTGAGAAAAATTCCTGTAGCCTTACACATCACATTAAAGATGTTTCATTTAATAGTAGTCCTCCTTCAATTGATCAACATATTTCAGCATCCAGGAAAAAGGCAAAAGGCTGAAGGAAACTTGGCACAAAGCCTTTTCCAAAGGAATAGGAAGGGGGAAACACTTCAAGGAACTCTTTACCACAAGGTGGTGGATCAGAGCTGAGCACTGAACCCCAAATGTGCTCAGATTTGTGGGGGCTGTGAGGCTGGGGGAGTCAGACCTCCCAAGGGTCCCAGAGGATGAGGATGGAGGGATGGAGCAGGAATTCCAGTTGGGAACACCAACCTTAACTGCTTGGTTTCTGGGTATGGCCACCCTGCTCACATCCCAAGTTGGACAACACATGGATCCAGATTCCAGGAGCTGGCCTGGATTTCCAAAGATTTTTTTAAGCCTGTCTGGTGTGAAGAACTGCCAGGAATTTAATGGTGTGGTGTGAAGGGTGATCATTGAGTGACCCCTTTGGAGCATCTCTTGTGCAGTCAGGTGGGATTGTTCAAGTTATAATCATAACAGGTGCTTTCCTACCACTGTAACTCCCCTTTGGAGCATCTCCCATGTAACCAGGCTGGATTATTCACCTTCTAAATCAACAAATCCTTCTTTATTCCCACAGCAACCCCCCTTTGGAGCATCTCTCATGTCGCTATTGTAGATTATCCAGGTTCTAAAGGTGCCAGACCAGGTCAGGCTGAGTTTCTCCATGTTAAGGGTTGCTTGCAGCACTTGGGCAGGAGTCCTTACAAAACTCCAATCCCAAGCCATAGATAACACCAGCAGCCCAACATCAATCCCTGCTCTGGCCACTCCAGTGAAGGAAAGTGTCCCCTCTCCAAGGTGTCCCTTCCCTCACCTGCCAAGTCTTTATCAATCCTAGTGGGTGAGAGCATCAGCACCTCCTGGCATCCTCAAGGCTTTGTTCCCATTGTTTCCTGAAGGATTTGAATTCTCCTTGAATGGGAGATTTATTATCCACAGCTCAGAACAGACAAACCTGTCTCAGGAGTTTTGGGTATTTAGGTTCACAATCTTCCCCTCACATCAAATTAGAATTATTTTGCACCAGGAGTTAATAAGCCCCGGTTTACTTCTGTCCCATCATTTATTGTGGGAAGTCAGGTCACCACCCTCCCTACCTCCTGCAAGCAAAAAGGATACTTTGGATTGCAAATAAAAATTAATAACAGGTAAATTAACAGCTAATAATAGGTAAAATAAAGGGTGGTGGGCCAGGCAGAGACCAATCTGGTGCTTCATTTCATAGCAAACCCTCTTGTTCTCACTCTGAGTTGGAATTTAATTTAAGGAAAATACAGTTCTTAAACAATGCTCAAAGGGATTTTCACTACAGGCTAAACCATAACAAGTCAGGAAATTAAAGCAAAAATTGTCCCTATCATTAGTCAGGAGCTGACAGGTAAAGGGTTTTAATTAATCCCTGGCCACTCTTTTAAATAGAATCTTTCCACCTCAGTGAGTTTCCTTTACCTGAGGTGTTTAAAATAAATAAACAGTGGCCAGTGACAAACCCCAGAGTGGAATTTGGCTCACAGAGCTCTCATTAATGGCTAACAACCCCTCAAAGGAGCAGCTGAAGGTGTCTGAGCACAGCCCTTTTCTCTCAGCTCCTCCATTCCCAGGACTGACAAGCTCCAAGACTGTCCCCCGAGGATTTCCCACTTACCTTTGAGAGAGATTAAAAACTTGTTGAGGATCTCCATTCTGAATGAGGTATTTGATGGGGTCTCCCTCTCTATCGAAAGCCTTTAGGGAAGGAAAAAAGAGGACAAAATTCAGTCAGTGGCAAAGGTTTCCTCTCTTTCCTTCCATGTAGAAACTGGGGAATTAAGTTTTAGGAAAGATTCCCTCAGGGATGATCCCAATCCTGGTTTCTAAGGCAACTCTGGTTATTGACAAGCTACTCAAGATAAAGCTGGAGCACATCAGAATTCCTATGCTACACAGAAATGACAATATCCTGAATGCAGGATAATAATTACTATCAATTATTAGTAATTATCAAATTACAGCTACATCCAACAGCATGAGTATGAAATTCAGGCTTTAATCATTTACTTCTATTTTTCTGCAGCTCCACACTAATTAGACTGAACTTTTGGTTTCCTTTCTTCCCATTCTTCATTTCCACTTCTTATCAAGATCCCTCTTTCTGTTATTTTATTAGAATTCCCACCTTTGGCTGATGCTCCAGTGAGTTCCAACTGCAGCACTCACAGCCCACAATAATTTGCTTTTTGATGTGGTGAAGATCAGGGTAAGACCTTTAAGAACAGACATTAACAGCACCAAAATGAGGATATTCCACCTATTAGGTGGAAAAAAGTCTTTCAAAAGTTGAATAAACTGTTTGATGTCTCTCCTGGTGCCACCTGAGGCCATTTCCTCTGTTCTAGAAGAGAAGGGGCCAACCCTCACCTTGCTCCTGTCAAGTTGTTGCTGTGGACCGGAATCTAGGGCTGTGTAGCTCTGAGCTGACCACCTAAAAAGCAGTTTTTGAGATAAAAACCCAAGAAAAATAACAAAAAAACCTACTCAGGCACCCCCCAAAATCAAGAGCAGAAGCATTTAAATATGCAGGCAGAGCAGGGAATGTTTCTTACTGAAAACAACTTGGCTTAGCCAAATAAAACACAGGGTCTAAGTCAGATGGAAGGGATCAGCACAAATAAAGGGCAAGAAAAACTGGATGGGGACACAGTTGGAAAAAGTCAAGACAAAACTGGAGTAGAAACAGGAGAGAACACAAAGGATAACAAAGAAATGTTTCAGTTACAGAAGGAACCTGAGGAGTGGTTTGCAAAGCAGAAGGAATGATGTTGAGAAGGTCAAAGAGGTAAAACTGCCCCTGTTCCAGCTCCAAACTAAATTAACTGGGGGAAACTTCAGTTGTGAGCTGGGCAAGGGTCAGGCAGAGAAGATGTTCATAAACACAGCATCTTTGAACCAGCTGCTGGAATTCAAGCCTGGTGAAGTCCATCCTGGTGTAGAGAAGGGTGGGAGCAATCTCAAAGCCATCAGAGATTTTTTATTTGAGCACTCCCAGAGAACAAAAATGCTGGAGGACAAACCCAAGGTCTATCCTTCATGTAAGAATGAGACAGGAAATCATTCACCAGGCAGGTGGAGTGCAATTTTCAGAAACCCACAAATATCCCAATTATTTGTAAGTTCCCTGCAATGTCAATATACAGATGGATAATACAGAACTAAATTTCTCCAGAACAAAAGGATGCTGAAGCAATTTAATCTGATTTTCCAGCAGGACAAGTCTCCTGAACAGGGCAGAAACTGTGGATCAATAAAGCAACTGAGCCATGGTGAAGGCTTTTCCCACTGCTCGATGGGACATTTTCCCAAAGGAGTTCCGACAACACAGTCTTCAAATGGAGGGTGGGATTAAGCAAGAATTAAACCCATCATCAAAATTAAGGTCAGGCAGTAGTGGCTAGTATACTGACTCAGTTCTGCATGGGTGGGTACAGCTCTCCCAGCACTAATCAACATTCCCATCCACAGCATAAGGGATGGGAAAATGGAGAGAATTGTTTATAAATTCCATGGGTGGCATTGAGTGACGGAAGGTGTGGGTGGAATTTGGATCTCCTTGGCCTGAGGATATGAACAGTCAGGATCTGAGCCAAGAACACAAAATGCTACAAACACTGGGGGCAGACAACGTGAGGAGCTAGCATCTCTGAGGACTGTCCTTGATCCTAAATCACCAGAATACCATGGCTGCTCCTGTCTTTAGTGCTTTGTCCTCCTTCTACCTTCCCTGCAGGGCATCCTGCCCTCCCTTCACATTAAGTCGTCTCAGAGGTATCATTATGGTCTGCTTTCTCTCATAACAAGTCAGGGGGTTTTCAGGAAGCCAGAAAATCAAAGACTAGCTGCTGTTGATTTCATTTTCTCTTTAGCCCCATGGAAAATCCACCTTCAATCAACATGCTTAAAAAAAAATAAAAAGGGTAAAAGTTAATCATTGCTTTTAAACACCCCTGCTTTTTTTAAAAGCAAAGATCACCATGTTCTTATGTACAGAAGAAAACCACTGAAGGCGAGGGGGAAGAGCAACCTATTCCTAATTTTTTCCAGATCAATGGCATAGAGTGTTTCCATAAATTGCACACAACAATTCCGTGTTAGCTCCTTGTTCAGCACATAACTGGACCCTGCTAACGGCCCTATCTGTTCTGCAGGCTCCCAGAAAAAGGACAGCATTTGCATATTTTAATTAATAATGGCTGGCAGAACATGAAGCCATAAACGCCTCCAGGCATGGAATAAACTCTGAGGTTTATTTACAAATTAATGCAGCGGAGATCATTTAATATTGCAATAATCTCAATGTTGTTAATTAAACCACCAGTCAAGACCAGCTGGGTGCATTAGAAAATAAATAAGGGGATAAGAAAGAAATAAAGCCCTCCATCATCAGCAGAAGAAATTTTAATAGACAAGAAAAAAGTGAATTTCATTTTTCCAAAGTCTAAAGGGAAAATTTAAGGCAGCTACATTTGCATTATTACTGACCCTAATGTTTTGCAGATCTTCAGATTTGATAAATTGGGAATATCTGAAAAATTTTGCTGGCTCTCTTCAGGATTTAGCAACCATCCTGCTGTATGCAGAACTACCAATTATCACTAAGAGAGAGGCATAAAAGCGTATTTTCTTAATCTGTACCAGCCCAAACACTAACTGGATTGATAAGACTCAGGAAAAGAAACATCAGTGTGAAAATTTACCCATGAAAACAGTTGTTCAAAATTTGAGGCCTGGTGATATTCCATATCATTGGTGGAATACAGGCAATGGCTTCAGGCACAAAACCCAAAACAAGGTGCCTGATTGGAAACTTTTGGTTGCCTGGAAAAGGCAGTACAGGATTTCAGAAGTTTAAATACTCAGTTTATGAATGTTTAAACTGTCCTGGTGGATTTTACCCAGCAGGGAATAAAGGAAGATTAAAACAGAAATATGTTGCACACAGAAGTCCTTTAATACAGATGGAGGTTTTAATGCAGGACGAGGGAGCTGGACTTTGAATTGGGTTGGGAGGGATCCTTAAAGCCCACCCATTACCACTCGCTGCCATGGGCAGGGACACCTTCCACTATCCCAGGCTGCTCCAAGCCCCAAGTCCAGCCTGGCCTTGGACACTTCCAGGTATCCAGGGGCAGCCACAGCTGCTCTGGGCACCCTGTGCTGGGGCCTCCCTCCCGCCATGGAAATATTCCTTCCCAATATCCCATCTGACGCTGCCCTCTGGTGCTTGGAAACCATTCCCCTTATCCTGGCACTCTAGACCTTTGTAAAAAGTCCCACTTCATCTTCCACATTTCAGGTTGAGGACAATCCGACCTTCAAGGGATACTGTCCTGCAGTAAGCACCAAAGATGAAGCCAAGCATATTTGGGTTTTAATAATCAAGTATTTTTCGTAAAACACAGGATCCCTAAGGCTGGAAAATCCCTCCCAGCCCATGGAGTCCAAGCTGTGCCTCATCCCCACCTTACCCCCAGCCCAGAGCACTGAGTGCCACGTCCAGCCCTTCCCTGGACACCTCCAGGCATGGGGACTCCAAACCTCCCTGGGCAGCCCCTGCCAAGGCCTGAGCTCCCTTGCCATGGAGAAATTCCTCCTGGTGTCCAACCTGAGCCTCCCCTGGCACAGCTTGAGGCCGTTTCCCCTTGTCCTGTCCCTGTTCCCTGGCAGCAGAGCCCGACCCCCCTGGCTGTCCCCTCCTGTCAGGGAGTTGTGCAGAGCCAGAAGGTTCCCCTGAGCCTCCTTTGCTCCAGGCTGAGCCCCTTTCCCAGCTCCCTCAGCTGCTCCTGGGGCTCCAGCCCCTTCCCCAGCTCCGTTCCCTGCCCTGGACACAGTCCAACCCCTCCATGTCCTTCCTGGATGGGGGGCCCAGAACTGGACCCAGCCCTTGAGATCCCTCAGCAGTGCCAGCACATAATAGGCTGTTTGGAGTTTAGTGAAACATTAAAGCAGATCATTCCACTGGAACTTCACTTTCCAACCATATTTAAATCCCATCAAATCCTTCAATACTAAAACCTGCCAAGAGGTTTTCTGCCTCCAAAGATCCCTCAGGCCCTCAGCCACAGACGCTAGCACCTGTCAAGGAAACACAAATGTTTCTGTTTCTCAGCATGTTCCTGGCTTCTGTTCCTCTTTGGGACTTCCAACCCCAAGTGTCTCTCACCAGGGAGGAAAAGGCTCCTGAACAACCTGGCTCTTCCACTCCTCCATCCCTACAGGCACCACGGATGTGCCAGGAGTTAATTGGCAGCACTGAGCTAAATTAGTCATCCTCCCTCAGCACAGGTGACTTTATGAGCTTAACCAGCCAGAATAATCCTAGTCTTTCAGCAGGAAACCATTTTAGCAGGAGCCTTCCCAACCACCTGCTTTAGTGAGTTAATTAGAGCTCCTTTATTTCACTACTGCTAAATACAGCATTAAGTTCCTGATCCCTCAAAAATAAAACCTCAATAAAGAGTTGCCATTTATCTCCCTATTTTGCACAGCTGGTTTTTAGGCAGAACACAATGCAGTAAATAAGGAACAGTAAATAAGTGAGAACTGATTTTTTAACCATTAGCACAACAAGGGGATGTCTGGTCCTGATGCATGAGGATGAGGGATGTTCCTGCTCCTGGACCTGGCCAGAAGCTGTTGCATGATCCCTGATCCCAGGGCACAATGTCCCACCAGTTCTGGGCCTGGCAGCAGTGGGATCTCTGCTCCCTCTCAGCCTGTTGTTCCACACACCAAGGGGTAGAAATATCTTCAGGCATTTTTCAAAAATGACAGGCTAGGGAAGGCAAATTGCCAAAAATCTTGCTGAAATTCCCCATGAATGAGGTGCTGAAGCTCCTCTGATCTATTGGCAAATATAGAGAGAGATTTTAACACAAGAAATCACAGGCCTTTCAAGTTTCCAGACACTTAGAATTTTTTTTCTAATATAATTGTCACAGAATCCCAGGATGGTTTGGATTGGAAGGGGTTTTTAAGATCAACTCATTCCAACCCCTGCCGTGGGCAGAGACACCTTCCACTATCCCAGGCTGCTCCAAGTCCCATCCAGCCTGGCCTTGGACTGCCAAGGATCCAGGGGCAGCCACAGCTTCTCTGGGCAGTGCCATTTGCAGCCTACAGCATCTTTTAAAATATTAAAATAAAAAAAAAAAAGAAGTAACAGAAATAGCCAGGTGAGCCCTTTTTCTCTACAGTCCATGTAAAAGGGGCTGTTGATCAAAATGAAATAATTTTCAATCCCTTTGAACTGCCCCTTTTCCCCATGGATGCAAGGAGTGGCATATGCGTGGCATGGACACAGAGGACAGGAAGGTGGAGAAGGTTCCACTACCCTCAGGGAGTCCCAGGGAAGCCTCTGTACCTGCAGGTTTAACAGAACAGCGCCGATCCTCATGGCCTCGCTGACTTCCAGGCTGTACATCAGCTGTGGGAAGCGTGGAGGGCTCTGGTTGTTGGGAGGCAGCACCTCGATGTAAACAGTGGTGATGGAGCTCCTGCAGTGCAAGGGGGGGAAAACCAGTCAAAACCAGTCAGAATCAATAAATCCAATCCACAAGGCAACCCACAATGGCAGCTTTACATAGTGTGTGTTCTCCAGCTCTAACAGCCTCCCTTTTGCTCCTCTAAAAGCTTCAGTACATATTTTTCCTTCTGGATCAAAAGGAAAGCAGGCTGTCACATGAACAGGAAGAAAAGCTCAATAATTTCCCCCAGAGCAGCCCAAAATGGTGTTCTTTCAAAAACAGAGCAGTGAGATATCAGTGCACACTCCAAAAACAAACTGCTCCCAATGTCATGTGTCCTCTGTGGGAGCAGCATGAATTCCAAGCTGGGAACTGCTCCTGCCACACACAACAGCCACCCCTGGAGCCTCCCTGCTGGCAGTCAGTTTGGTTCCTTTCCTGGAAAAGAGGGAGCAGGGAATGTTGGCAGAGAGGATAATGCTGGGAGAAGAGATGCGCACAACTCTGTGAGGCTGCTACAATGCTGTGGGTCAATAATTCCCATTTCAGAGCAATGAATCCCATTTCAAAATAGTGGCAATGCAGGAGGCTACAAACCCCTGGCAAACCCTTCAGCTGCACTGAATCCCTGTCCCAAACAGACTGTAAACAGCATTCCATACAGAATGTTGAAGGTTCTTTGGGACACTGGCACTGAAGACCCCGCACAGACCATCCTGTAAACCCATTTGATATCCAGCAGCCTCAACTTGAGAAAGGGAGCCAGGAGTCCCCCTGGAGATGGGAGATTAAAAATCTGGCTCAAAGGGATCTTCCTATTGCCTCTCTGCTCCATGATCCCACCTGCCTTCTTTCCTGGATGTCAGCACAGCATCCCCACCCCAGAATAAACCCTGAGAAGAGCGAGTGCTGTGCTGCAGGTGTAGCTTTCCCCCTCAGGAATCCTTGCACAAAGTTGACAAATCTCAGGTTTTAGGGCTGCAGGAAAGAAACCAAAGGAATTTGTCCCAGTTTTTTTGAGGTGGGGCAGGAAGAGGGAGAGAGAAGAAAATAATGAACCTAAAATGCTGCTTCTTTCAGGGCTAGTAAACTCCAGAGCTTTTTTAGAGGATCTTACCCAAAATTACCAGACATTTATTGTTGAAGCAGCTGCTGTATTAACTGAGAGATCTCATTTAATATAAAAACAACACATTAGTGATCAATATTTTTAATTAGCTGCCCAAAATTGTGGCCAAGCACAGTCACCACTGTGCTGTTGAGGGTTCCAACTCCCTTTTCCAGCAGGTTTTGCAGGTCTGGGTCACTGATGAGAGCTGGGCAGAGAATTGCAGCAACGCTAGGGCTGAGAGCAACGTGTTGGGGACTGTCACACACCCCCTGGCCATGGTCTAGGATAAGAAATTGCTGTCCAGAAGGACAAATCACACCCCTGGGAAGGGGCCCTTCCCTCAGGGCATATCCACACACACAGTGACAGGATTCAGTGCCAGGACACAAGGATTGGCTTCCCAGTGCCAGAGGGCAGGGAGAGATGAGATATTGGGAAGGAATTGTTCCTTGGGAGGGTGGGCAGGCCCTGGCACAGGGTGCCCAGAGCAGCTGTGGCTGCCCCTGGATCCCTGGAAGTGTCCAAGGCCAGGTTGGACAGGGCTTGGAGCAGCCTGGGATAGTGGAAGGTGTCCCTGCCCTGTGACTGGATGGGCTTTAAGGTCTCTTCCCAGTCCAAATCTTTATGGGACTCTAGGAATAGTAAGGAAATTTTCTTCAAATATTTAAGGCAAAATCACAGAAGTAAAGCACTAATAGTCTGCAAACTTAAAGTACTCTTATATTAAGTCTTTTTTTTGCAATGTCAATCCATTTTTTATTAACACCTTGCATTTTCCCCCCATGTCTTTTGTGTGGGTTATAGTCCAGTTAAGGAGCTGGCAAATTCCCCCTTGGCATGGGAAGGGGAAGGAGATGGAGCTGAGCCAAGCCCTGCAGCTGGTGTTTGCAGGTGAACACACAGAGACTAACACAGCATTTGGGAACCACAGAGAGCTCCCAAAATCAGTCCAGGATGGACAAACATCTTTTGTGCCCCATCAGCTGATTGAAAGTCAACTGCCATCACCATCTCTGCTTAAATTATCTCCACATGGAATCATGGAATAGTTTGATTTGGAAAGGACCTTAAAGCCCATCCAGTGCCACCCCCTGCCATGGGCAGGGACACCTTCCACTGTTCCCAGGCTGCTCCAAGCCCCAAACTCCAAGCTGGCCTTGGACACTTCCAGGGATCCAGGGGCAGCCACAGCTGCTCTGGGCAATTATAAAATCTAGGATGAATGGATTTCCATCCATGTGGACTAACCCATCGTGACCTGATCCAGCAGAACCCTGTATCACCAAGTGATATGAATCCTGTGTCTAGGAATCTGAGGGACTGTGAAAAGCTTAAAGTCTGACATGAAATTGTCTGATTTTACAAATGTTGTAATTTTTTTTTTCCAAAATTAGAAATTGTTGTGCTTCAATATAGGAACGGGCTGTGCAGGGAAGGGGTGAAATCTGCAGCCCTGGAAGGTTTTGAGAAACAACCGGACGTGGCACTTGCTGTGGTTTAGCTGACAAGGTTGAACTTGATGATCTTGGATGGATCTTGGATGGATCATTTTCCAACCTTCATGATTCCATGATATCTCAAGAACTGACATTAATTATTATAAATAATAATACTCAAATCCCAAATCTCAGTTGTGGCACAGCCACCCACTGACATTTTTAAACATCATTCCATGCAAAAACAACCCAAGAAACCTACACAGAATTCCAAATTACGATTTAAATTTGTGTTCACAAAAGCTGCAGAGCTACAGCTCCTGAGCCAGGTTCAGTGGCTGGGTTTTGTTTCATGCATAAGCAAGGGGGAGACTGAAATCCAGTCACTTTCCAGGTGACTTTGGTTATCCTGGCACAGCTTTCCACTTCATATTTGCCTTGAAGACATTTCCGGAGAAGGAAGCAGAGGCTCCCCACATCCATCCTCAGAAATACATATGTTTAGGCAATACAAAGATTTATCCAGCACAAAACGAGCTGATGGCAATCAGAGCTGTAGTGTGGGGCCACACCACGGGGATCCCAGACTCTCTGAAGGGGAGTTACTGATTTTTGGCTTTCACTCTGAAGTACTACACAAAATAAATGCATAATTGTCCTCAGTCTTCTCAGCAGTACCAGCAGCCTACTACCAGCTCGAGAGGGTTTATCAAAGAAGCAAGCAGGAGGAAAAAGAGAGTGAAATTCAACCAGGGGACTGCTACCAGATGCTAATTTTATGAACAACTTAGCAAGTTGAATGGACAGTAATTATAAAATATGTGCACAACAGCATGAGCTGCTTTCTTAGAGACATGATAGAAGCAGCCAGTCCTGAGGAAAATACAGTTACTGAAATCCTACTCTCATATTTTCTTTCCTTCTTACGTTTCCCATTTGAAGAAGTTTTCACTTTACAGTTGTGGGAGGTTTAAATGCTGGAACCTCCTATTCCTCCCTATCATGCTCTTTGGACAAGGAGGTTGTCACATTGTCAATACCAGGCCCAGAACACAAGAGACATTTTTTTGCTCCCTCCACACCTTAATGAAATAACATTTTGGCACAACTGCCACATTTAGAACACAAACCCCACAGAAACAGATAAGCAGGGCTTGATACCTTTGCTGGTTTTTGAAGATACAGATCATAAAATGGTTTGGGTTAAAAGGGACCTTAAAGATGATTATGTTCCCCTTGCCACCTAAATCCTCAATTTGCAGTCTGCTCTTCTTTATTAGCTGGGGTACAATAGAGATAATTCTGCCCTTAGGAGTTTCGGTATTAGTGGGGACACTGCACACTCTACATCTGGAGAGGATCTCCAGCTCAGCAACCCCATTCTTTGGGATCCTTTTTGCATTTTCTGAACAAAAAGCATCTCCCTTCTCACTTGCTTTCTTCTTTCCATCCCTTCATCTCAATGAATGGACATGCACAGCTCCCAGCACAACTGGGAACTTTTAAATAACAGACCATGGCAAGCAAAAGAAATCATGAAAATCCAGTGCTGTAGGGGAAATATCATTAAGGACCACAAAGGGCAAGAATTCTACTGTGCCAGTTTTCCAGAACAGAGGCATGGAATTGTATCCCAGCATGGATTACAGACATGGGTGTGAGGCACAGGTGCTCCTGCTGAGCTGCTGGAGTAATGCATCTACATCAGCAGATGCATTAATTACCTTCTCTGTGCAGGGGGGGCACTGTCAGACGCTCTGACCGTGAGGGCGTAGGAGCGCCCCACTGCCAGCACCACTCCTGGAGCGATGGTGATCAGGCCTGTGTGCTCATTGATGGTGAAGTCTCCCTGATCCCCGGCCAGGATTTCATACACTATCTGGCCATTGGCTCCCTCGTCCGCGTCCACGGCCGTCAGCTGCAAGGCAAAACCACAGGGTCAGCAGGGAACCTCTTCACAGGCTCTGGGAAGGTGATTTGGGAGGAGGAGAGGGGAACCGGAACATCTGGAACACACGCAAGAATTTCTGAGCACAGAAAGATACAGCTGAAATGAAGAATAATAGCTGTAAAAAACATCATGAAGCAGAGAAAAACTGCTTTCTAAAGACTGCAAGGCACTTATTTTAAGATACAAATTAAGAAACATAATTTAGACCGAGTTTATTCTCTGTGGGTTGGAATATATGAAACTTTCTGTAAAAGCAGAAGGAAGAAGATATTTTTTGTGTAGCAAAAGTAAAGAGAGGATTATATTTATTTATTTCCCATCCCTCTCTCCACTTTTCCAGGACACAGCCCTGATAGTGCCAGGAAGTCCCATGTCCAGGCCTGGCATTCCAAGCCCTCCTTGTGCAGAGCTGGAGAGCAATGTTTGTGTTAATGTGCACCTATGGCTATGGCAGGCAAGTGGAAGGGAAATGGCAGCTGTTCCCATATGGATACACACTTGGAATCATGGAAACATTCAAGTTGGAAAAGCCCTCTGAGATGGTTGAGTCCAACAGTTAACCCATCACCGTCAAGGCCACCACTAACCCATGTTCCCAAGTGTCACACTGTCTTTAAATCCCTTGAGAAAAATCTAAATCCTGGTTTTAGACCCAGATTCTAACAGTGAACATAATGAAATGAGGATGGTCTTCTCTTCCCTCTGGGAAAGGCAGTGGGTTTATCCCATTTATGTTGTGAGCCACCATAAATCAAACACACTTGGCCAGGAATTAGAGCCCAGGGAATATATCTGCTTTTAGTGAATCATGGAAGAAAATCCCAGAGTGGTTTTGGCTGGAAGGGACCTTAGAGCTCAGCCCATTCCACCCCCTGCCTGGGATGCCTTCCACTATCCCAGGTTGCTCCAAGTCCTGTTCAACCTGGCCTTGTTGTCTCTTCCTCCTTTAAGAGTTGTTTTGCTGATACAAAGGTTCCTCAAATGACTTTTCATTCTGTAGGACAACATTCCTTCAAAAGCACAAGGAATGACATAAAGTGGTCTGAGCAGCACTGGAACATCCAGGAGGCAACAGCCTCCAGCTGTGAATCCAGCTGCCAAAAGCTGGCAGTGGAAGTTACAGGGAATGATGGCACCATGGGGTCCTCTGCTGCTCCCAGCTCCAGGGGAGCAGTGGGAGGTAGGGAATGGGAAAGGGCACCAGCAGGGGTGACAGCAGAGCTTTCCTGGGATGTCCAAAGTAATCCCAGCCTCAGGAAGGATCCCTGCAGGGATCCTAATGCGAGGATGAAAAAGAAGAGACATAGCTTCTTCAAAGGTCTCTGCCTTGGCTTTCCTGACACCAACCCTCCTGCCTTGGGGCAGCAGGGACGGAAGATGGGAGCACTGGATGGCAGCGGTGATGGAAAACCTCGGCACCGGCTGCGAGGCCAAGGGCAGGATCAACAGCTGCTCCTGAGGCAAGGCCAGCTGAACAGCAGGCTCTGCCTCTGGGCCCCTCTTGTCACCCTGTAACACCTTGAGGCAGGGACAGAAACTCCCTGATGGCCTTGCCATGCTTCGATAGAAAGTCATCTCCCGATCAATGCAGCATCACATCAACTCCAGCAGATCACAGCTCCCACAGCACCACCCAAGGCTGCAAAACCAGCATCCAAAACTGCCAAACCACCACCTATGACTGCCAAACCTGCACCCCCAAACTACCAAATCACCACCCAAAACTGCCAACCACCACCTAGAACTGCCAAACCACCAGCCAAATCTGCCAAAGAAACACCTAAAAGTGCCAAAACACCACCTACAGCTGCAAACCACCACCTAGAACTGCCAAACCACCACCCAAAACTACCACATCACCACCTAGAACTGCCAAAGAACCACCTGAAAGTGGCAAACCACCACCTAGAACTGCCAAACACCACCTGGAACTAGCAAAACACCTTGGCCCAAGGATAGGTAAAAATTTGGAAGAGCAGGAACCAAACCTTGCCACTAAAACAAGAGTAAACCCCAAAGCTACAATATCTGAATTAATCCCATTTGCATACAACATTAAGCACCAAGGGGAGGATGTGCATTACTAAATCCTGGAATGGTTTGGATGGGAAGGGACTTTAAAGCACATCTAGTTCCATGGACAGAGCACCGTTGACTATATCAAGCCCGTCCAACCTGGCCTTGGGCACTTCCAGGAAAAAACTCAGGGATCTGATTGGTTCCTAAGATAATCTTGATCCTTTATGCACAGAGGCTCAGTGAAATACAAAATTTCATTTAGAAAGTCATAAATATTCTTCAAACCAAGAATTAAGCCCACAATACTTTTAAAAACAAATCTTAATTCATCTCCTATAGCATTTTGGGACACACTGTACAGTGAACATAGAATAAATCATTGAAATGCCCCAAAAATCATGGAACAGGGGTCATCTTCTCTTAAAAATTTAAAAAAACAAATTAATACTTGTGTGTTTTTTTTTTTTTTATCTACCTCATTCTCTATTTTCTTTTGGAATTCTAAAGAAGCCATCCTATGAAAACTGGAAATTAAATCCCTTATTCTATAGCTTCTATACATACTTGGGCGTGTTAATTTACCTTGCAGAGAATAATTATCCACTCAAAACACAGACCTGTAAAAACCTTGTCTGCTGAACTTCAAAAGTAACACACACACCCCCACAAAAAGATAAATAAAACCTTTATGCAAAATACAGGGTACTGAGGATTTAATGTCAGAATTTGGAACCTGTCCAGTTTTTACTGTGATGACATGAAAAAGGAAAATTAATTGACTACATAAGCACAGAGATTAAGAAGGTTAATTAAACCTACAAATATGGAATGCTTGGAAAGATAAGCGATTTGAGAAACATTTTGGGGGCAAAACCAGGAATCAAACCCGGGATTAAATAGAATTAAGGTTTAACTGCTGCCATAATATATGATTCCAGAAATCCCATCTCCAGCTGTCCCAGACCGATAGAGCTCCACAGTTAACAAGATTTAAGAAACAGGGGATAAAATGTAAAGGGAGAACAACAAAATAAGGTTTTATTTACGTTCCTAAGAAATTTTCATCCAGCAGGATCAGCCCCATTGCATCAACATTTAATGTATTAAAAGTCTGGCAAAATAGATGTGGATTCTGCTGCAGCAATAAGTGGTTTTCTTGGGAGGAAAAGGAGATTTAGGAGTTGTTTTCTTGGGAGGAAAAGGAGGTTTAAGAGTGGTTTTGTTGGGAGAAAAGGGAGATTTAGAATGATGGCCTTAAGCCTACAAAGACACATCTTGATTATGATATAAGCCCTGCTTAGACTCACTCCATTACTGGAGGAAACTGGGCTTCAGTGTTTGACTTGGAACCTTCTCACAGCAACATTCGTGGTCACCTGGCCCTGGACAGATAAAGTGATGACCAACATTCCCAGCAGCTTTCACCGGATTCATTGTGATGGAAAAATTCCAGGATTGTTATGGAGATATTCCCGAACTTGAGTCAACCACACATAATGATCTCTGAGTAGGTTAAAACACGTTTTCATTATCTCCTTCAGACGTTTCATCAAGCCTGAATCCATTATTTTTCCTGGAGTCTGCAGGGACATTGACTGAGCAATGCAAACACAGCCTGGTTTTGTTTTCTCTCTCTGCTAATCAGGTTTGCTTTGGTGATGGAAATGAATTAATTACCTGACGGGCAGAAGGCAAAAGGTTGTAAATAAACATGTAAATAAAAGATGAAGTGGGGTCTGAAAATTACTTTTATGAGGATTGTTTTACGGAAAGGTTCAGGAGTGGTCTGGCACTGAACAGATCACAGCCTCAAAGCTGCTCAAGGAGCGTTTGGACAACAGAGATGCACAGGCTGGGATTGTACGGGTCGCTGGGAGGGTCAGGAGTTGGATCCATGATCCCTGTGTGTCCCCTCCAGCTGCAGATATTCCATGATTTTAAGATTTTTGCTAAAATGTCCTGCTCTTTTATGGCACAATGCAGGTTTAAGAACTGGAAATCAAGAACTTAGGCTAGGCTGGGGCAGGACCTTAAAAATTAATTTGTGCTGGTGCTATCACACAAAATTGTTTCAGCAGGGAACAGGGCACTGATCCCCTGTGTATTTTGTTCTCCATTTTCAATCAGGGAATTATTTAATTATCGCTCGGAAGTGAGGTTTTGAACGTGAGTCATGTCACTGCACTAGGAAATTAGGGAGAAATTAGGTATGTGGATAATTTGAGGTAGGGTGTAAGAAGAGCAAAACTGGGATTATTCAGCCTGGGGAAGAAAAGCTTCAGGGTGACCTAACTGTGACTTTCCAGGACCTGAAGGAGCTACAGGAAAGATGGAGAGAGATTCTGTACAAGGGATGGAAGGACAGGACAGAGGGAATGGCTTCCTACTGCCAGAGGGCAGGGATAGATGGGATATTGGGCAAGAATTGTTCTGTGTTAGGGAGGTGAGGCCCTGGCACAGGGTGCCCAGAGAAGCTGTGGCTGCTCCTGGATCCCTGGAAGTGTCCAAGGTCAGCTTGGACAGGGCTTGGAGCAGCCTGGGATAGTGGAAGGTGTCCCTGCCCATGACAGGGGTGGGACTGGATGGGCTTTATGGTCCCTTCCCACCCAAACCATTCCATGATTCCATGAATTTTACATTTAAGGCCCATCCACAAGTTTTCTTGTAAAGACAAAATACAAAAAATCTCCTCATGGGCCAAGATTTAGGTGAATAATATTATTTTTGTCACACTCTTCTCCTTCCCAGCTCTTGCATTTTCCTGCTTAATATTACCTATTCCCTTCATGCTGAATATAAAAATGAGAGATGTCTAAAGAAAAACTGGGTTTAAATTATTGAGATGAAATTTTGTTGCACCACTGCTGCAAACTCCACCCATCAATGTGTAACTCATTTCAATATCTGAGTCACAGCAGTGGAAAAATGGAAAACTGGGCAGCAAAAATATAATAACATAAAAAAGATGGAATTAAGTGCTTTACTACGTTTACGGTTAATAGTCTTCCTAGTGACAGCTATTATTTACCACATTTAACTGTTTTAAAGGACAGATTTCTCAACTGAGAAATTCTCAGGAAGGACAATAAAACACCTATGAAAGGAGAAGGAAAAATAAGGAATATTCAGGCTGAAAGGAACAAAATACAAAGACATTTAAACTTAACTCTCCTCAACCATGGCCTGAAACAATTTCACAAATACTGAGAGGAGACAACTGAAATAAAATTAAAACCTGTTTTTGTCACTTCTCTGAAAGGTAACAATGAAAGAAGGAAAACTTTTTGGTGTAACCACCCAGGCGGAAAGGAAAAAATGGGGGAAATAATTGAATTCTGCTTGTATTGGTTATATTTGCCTGCTATTTGTGGTTATTTTCAAGCAGAATCTAAGAATTTCTAAATTTCTTTTATTTTTTAAGAGTGTACCAAACAGCAAACACAAGTAACTTAAAAGCTATTATGTTTTGGGGCTGTTTTCATGAGTAAAATCAAAACAATGTTGCACAAAATAGGGCAGCAAGTTTTTGTCCATTTTATTTGTATATTTTCTTGCAACTGCACTCTGGAAAAAAATATAAGAAATATAAGACTATTACCCTAGGAATAACAAAAGCCAAGTGGCTGAAAATCTGTCTGATTGTTATAGATGATTATGAGACTGTCCAGACGGTCTGAGGTCAATGTTCTTTTTCTAAACTGATTTCTCTGATCAAACAAAGTGGTTTTATGAACTAATTTTCCTCTGGGAACTGTCAGAGATGAGCATTCTATCCCAGCAGAAGATCCCAAAGGATCCTGACCCCAGGAGGGATGGTGGGGTACAAGGTGAATTTGCTCCTCATGCAGACAACAAGGTGAGTTGTCTCATCTCTGAAATCGCTTGAAATCACTGTGTCAGGATTCAAAAAATGGAAAAGAAAGTTCAGTTTGGCCTTTGAGAAAGTCTTTATAAAGCCTTTACATATGTGAAATATACATACATATCTAGAGAGAGATAGAGATATTTTATATCTAAAGATTGAGCAACCTACCAAAAAGTGCAGCTGCCCAAAATCCTTATCATGGAATCATGGAATGGTTTGGACTGGAAGAGACTTTAAAGCCCATCCCATCCCCTGCCATGGGCAGGGACACCTCCCACTATCCCTGGCTGCTCCAAGCCCCAAAGTCCAACCTGGCCTTGGACACTTCCAGGGATCCAGGGGCAGCCACAGCTGCCCTGGGCACCCTGTGCCATGGGCTTCCCCCCTCACAGAGAAGAATTTATTCCCAATATCCCATCTATCCCTGCCCTCTGGCACTGGGAAGCCATTCCCCTTGTCCTGGCCCTCCATCCCTTGTCCCATGTCTCTCTCTCTCTTTCCTGGAGCCCCTTCAGGCCCTGGAAGGCCACAATTTGGTCACCCCAAACCCTCTCCAGGCTGAACAATCCTAGCTCTCCCAGCCTTTCCTCCCAGAAGAGCTGCTCCATCCCTCTGATCATCCTGATGCCTTCTCTAGACTCCAGCAGCTTCAAATCCTTCCTGTGCTGGGCCCTCTTTATTTCTGGCATCATCACCAGTCTACTGAAATCCTAAGTCCTAGCCCTTGGCTTTTCCACGCCGCCCCCCCCCTTTTTTTTTTTTTGTTTTTTTTAAGCCAGTAATTGAGAATCTCAGATCATCTGGTAATGTGGGATGAGTTGTAAAACAACTCCTCTCCCAAAGCAACCAGAATTTTCTACCTTCCCCCTCAGACCAGATTATAAACTTAGAAAACCTGGAAGTAGCCATGTGCCGACTATATAGACAGAAGCATGGATTTGGGAAAACCTCCCTCTTGGAATTTAAATTTTTTAGCAGAGGTGAGCTCAAGGCCCAACTGCATATTATTCCTTTCCCAAATAACCTGTTCTGGCTCAATTTTCCTATGAAATGTGGCCTCCTGCTCTTTGAAAGCCTCTGGGCCCATAATACGTTTGCAGCTGCAGCATCAGGATGTGTTTGAGACCTGGAAAGCAGCCCCTTCCCTCTGAGCACAGAAACACTTCAGCAGCTTCAGACAAGCCCAGGAGCTGCTCTGCTTCATCCCAGGTATCATTAACAAACCTCAGGCAGCTCAGAGCCTCCTCAAGGCCAACTTTGAGTAGAAAACATTCTTTTTTCCCAGCAGAAATCTCATCGAGCAACATTTTCTGCCTTATGCTCCCTGGCTCCTTTAGGACAACAGTACTTGCTGTCACGTTTCCACCCAGCCTTGTGCAGCATTTTAAGGAATTTAACTATGCTTCAGACTTTTTTTTCCCCTCTGATCTTGCTGGAAATGCCTCTGTGGCTGTCCCTGATAGCTTTTAAGCACTCATGGCCCAAGCTGATGAGGGGACACAACACAAAGGAAGAGCTAAGATGCAAAGGCATAAGTACAGCTCAAGAGGAACAGGAGCAGCACTGAACCATCTCCTCATCACTGCTACACTCAAATTAATTTCTGATTACGGCTCAGAAAATGGCATTTTATACTTAAGTCAGCTGATTAGTTTTATATTCCAAATATTCCCACTGCCTTCAACCACTCTGGGATGCCACCAATTGTCTTCTCATGCATCTGGACTGGCAGCACTTAGAGCAGGGCTGAGATCTTGGAAGAATTTCACAAAAAGAGCCTTTTTCCATTCATTTCAGCATCACCAAGATTCACCTCCAGCCCTGCACTAAAATATAAATCAGTGCTGACAAAGTTGAAACTGCTTCTCCCTGGGCCCAGGTTCAAGCCATTTTTCATTGCTCATTTGCTCTACAAACAAACTTGCAAAAAACAGCAGGTTTTCTGGCATAGAAAACATTCCTGCTTATGTCCTACTTCACTGCTTACCTGTTCTCCCAAAATGTTTTATCTCAATGTCCTGCTAACAAAGGAGAATTTTCTTTTTCTTTTCAGATTTTTCAGCTAAAATTTTTTTGTGGAACCTCAGAAGAAGCAGCTGTGCTGCAGCTCTACAGCTAAAACAGGCCTGATATTTAGTATTAGCAATTTTGAATAGATACTTAATTAATGAAGTGAATGCAGAAACACAAACCTTGTTTCTAGCCGGTTTCAGTGCATTTCCAATTTAGATGAACAAGGCCATATACTGCTAGCAAAAAAAGTGAGTTAACAAAGGTTATAAAAGCCCTGAAATTACCTTTATAACACCCTCCCCAGGCCTCATATCCGTGTAGATCTTGACACTGTAGGAGATGTTGGAGAAGGTTGGGGAATTATCATTTGCATCGATCACCACGATGTTGACAGTCACTGGGACACTCTCCTGGACTCCATCAGAAGCTGTCATCTTCAGAGGGATAAAAAAAGCAGGACAGGAATGCATTTTAGTGGTGTGTTTTCAATACAATTCCAAGAGAAATACAATTTCAACAGGAGAAAATACAGCCTGGCAACCCCAAATCAGCATTTTGTTTCTCTCTGCATTTACAGTTACAGGAGGATTCAGCAGAGCTCGAGCCTGCATGTGCAAGACTCAGGGCAAAAGCAAAGCAAACATATTCAAACCTTTCCAATGCAGAAGTGAGAAGAAATAACTTGGAATTTTCCTGGGATGGGGCTGGGATAGGAGCTGTTGAGTTCATGGAGTTTTACCTGGGTATCACCACACCCAAGAGCCCTGTTAAACCTCCCCAACATTTTGAGGTGAGAATTACAGAGCTGGGGGCTTTTCTTATTCCACAGAGGAAATCTGAACTCTTCTTTCCAATGAAAATGGACCGAAAATAGGGAGCCACAGAGTGGGAACCCCTGCAGAAGAGCTGGGTTTGCCAACAGCCCATTTCCAAATTGCTGTAGGGCTGTTAATTGGTTCACTCACAGCCTGAGGGAATATTAAATCCATTTAAGCTTTTTTCTCCTTTTTTTTTTTTTTTTTTTTAAATACTGCTGTCTGTGCTTTCTGTCAACCTATTATTTTTTTTTTATTTATTTATTTGGGAAAGAAATAAAGCAAAAATCCCAGGACAAGGCTCATGTTCCTGGTTCCAGGTGTAAGGGGGAAAAGGCAATGAGAAAAGCAAGCCCAGGAATAAAAAAGAGGGCTCAGATCCTGCCATGGGATAAGAAGCAGGTGCCAAACCTTGGACTATGGAGAAGGTGCTGGCAGAATTTAAAATGCTGCTCTTAACCAATTCATCCTTCATGGCTTTCCTCCTTCTGGGCCATTTTAAGACTTCTAAGGATGCTGAAATTGATCCTTTCCCATCACATGCTCCCAGCAGTGCCTGGAGAGTTTTCCAAGGGCATTTAACTTACAGAGAAGGTGTAGAGCTGCTGGACCTCCCTGTCCACAGGCTGCAGCAGGGTGAGGTAGCGGGTGATGCCACTCTGAGTCACAGTGAAAAACGTGGTGTAGTCGTTCAGGAAGAGATGGACCTGCGGATCCTTGGTCTTTCAACAACATCAAGGGGGAAAAAGAGCATTTTATTACAAATTCAGAGGTACATTAAGTCTCCAATTACTCGCTGCAAGTGCTTGTTTTAGTTGAAACCTAAAAGCACAAATGCTGTGACAAAATCTTCAAAACTGCTAAAAAAAAAAAGGAAAAAAAACTCACTGCTGGCCTAAAAAACTAATCTTCTTGATGAAAAACACATTAAAAAACCACTAGAGTGAAAAAATCCAATTGTAAACAAATACCCGTATTGGTTTTAAATAAGTGCCTTTTTCCCCCATTAAACACTAATTTTTAAGCCAGACACAACTTAATATAAGAAACCACATTCAAGCATTTATCTTCATATTAAAACCGAAATGAAGCTGGACTTGATTAACATAGCAATAAAACAGCTGGGTTGGTGCACTGAACAAAGAGAATGGGGAAGTATTTCAGGAAACAGAGGCAGCTCAGGGGGTTGCTTTAGGTGTCAGAAAGAATCCAAATGTATTGATGCAGAATTAGGAACCTCTCAGTTGATGGGGGGGAACATCATAAATTAACTGAAAAGTATCATTTTAAGGTAAAGAAAGGAAAAAAAGGCTTTGTAAATTTACTCATGGCTTCTTGAGGACATGGGTCACTCCTGATTTCCACCTCTTTTGAGGTGTTTTTGAGTTGTTTAACTGATCAGATCCTACGTGAGTTAAATTTTCAAACAAACTACATTTCTTTTTTTTGCCCACAGTACTCCAACAACTTTCTATGTCCTTGTCCATGATCTGGTTAATTTAAACTGACTTCCAGCTGCTCTCTCTCATGAATTACAGAGTTTATTTCTGTTGGTAGGTGAAAGGTTGAGAGACAAGTCATATAAAAACTGTTTTAAACTGCCCCCAGGAATGTGTAGATGAGGAACCAGAGAAGTGCTACCAGGAATGACAGAAAATCCAGGATTTTACCAGCTGCTTTCCAATGTCATTCCACAAATCCCATCCCTACAGAGGAGGACATACAGAGAACCAGATGAATAAAAGAAGAAAAGCTGAATTCAGCAAAAAATTCCCAAGGGAACATTACTTCTCTGAATACCTCCTAAATCCAAAGCTCTTTTGGAAGGGTCACTCCATTAGTGCCATTCCTGGAGGATTAAAATCCTTGGGAGCATAGGACAGGTCTCCAACCAACCCCCAGCCAACCCTGACCTGCACCAAGTGGCAGCAGGACAGAGCCGCACAACACCAGGACAAGGAGAAACTGCCTTTAATGAGCCCAAATAAACACCAAAAAGCAAAGATTCCACTATTTAAATGAGAAAACATTCCAGGAAGCCATGGGAAAGAATTATCCAAGTGTTCTACACGAGTGGTTTCTCAGTGTCTAAAGCCTTGCTGCAACTGCAGCTCCCAGGAAAATGAAAATTCATTTTATGGCTAGCAATGCAAATAGTAACCTCTTAATTCCAGGAAAACTTAGGGAAGGTAATTGCCCATAATTGTTCACTTTGTAGACATTATAAAGTCAGTTAAGAATTTAATTTACAAAACCTGCAATTAGTTTTGCAGTTCTTGCTTTCATGTCCTTTTGAACACTAATAAGCAGCATTTTTTTCCCAATTTATTGCTGAGAAAAAACAATGATGGATATCCCAAACCCTCCTGGAGTAATGTGTCCTATTCCTTTGCAATCCTTGTCTTAGAAATGTTCTCCTAATATGGAAGGTAATTGCCTTTACTGCAATTAATGCCTACTTTACCATCTCCCGGGCATGTCAGAGCCACACAGCAATTTATTCCCTTCATCTGGAAAAGCACTGTTATGCTTGGACATTATTACCAAGGATATTTGACATTATTATCAGGGATCTTGGACATTATTATCCTATTTTATGCAGCCTGAAAAGTCAGCTTGACTTAAATGAATATTTCACATGAGAGAGAACAACCCCAGCTACATTGCCAACACAATCTCCAATAATTTATTTTTTTAAATTATTTTATTCTGGGGTATGGATTTCAGCCTTGTGATTTCTGGTGACATTACTGGGTCATGGAGACAAGGCTAGTCTCTGATAAATTGTTTAACATGGAATTTTAAGTAGAAAATTATCACAATCCACACAAAAAGAGCTCACATGCAACCTGCAAGGAGCATTTCAAGCACACAGTTCAAACCTGAGGTACTTTTTAATTTTAAAAAGCACTTTTGTAATACTCAGGATGTCTTTGAAGACTTGTAATAATTTAATGAGCATTAAGCAATCACAATTTATGCCCTAAATTGGGTTCAATGTGTTTAAAGGGCTCTTTGCAGGCTTCACAAACCAAGGAACAGTCCCAGCCTCAAACACCATCAGGGCAGGGAGAAATGAGGGAGGAAAGTGGGAAATAGAGGAAGAAATCACACAATTAAACCCAAAAAAAGGTGTTTTGCACACACAACACCCAATACCTACGGGGAAGGCACCTGGTGGGACCTACAAAGGAAAACACAAAATGAACATGAGTGAGGAAACAAAAACCTGGGACTGAGGGACAACACAACATTTGGGGGATTCATGGTTACAGACAAAAAAAAAACCAGCAAAATGAGACACACAGAATTCTGCACTCAATAATCAAAGCCTGGGCTCGAGTGCGTTCTGCTTGAAAAATCTCTGGAGAAATTCCTGCATGGATGTGGATGTTTCATTCCTGCTGCTCCTCAAATCCCACCAGGGGTTACAACTCTGACCAAAGCAAACAGTTTTCTAAAACTGATGAAGATGAAACCAAAATTTTTTGGGATAATTATGATACTGCTAAGACTGAGCAGACAAGGGTATTAATTCTGTGTGTGTTTCAACAATCCCAAAAGTTTTTGGAGAGGGTCTGTTTGGCTGTGAAGTTCTCAAGAGCAGCCAGAACAAGTTCCAAGAGTATCCAAACTGCTCAGACTTCCTAATTTGCAGCACAGGCCCACCCCCTGAAAGCTCAGTGATAACACTTTGATGGCACAGCTGAGTTTTCCAACATTTTTAAGTGGATGATGATCAGTGCTAAAATGTCCATGAAAGATTTGTTTTGTTGGAAAGCTGTTATCTGTCCTCCTTGTTACTGGGTGAAAGGAGAAAATCTTTCCCATGTTCACCTGGACAATCTGAGATACAGAGCCTTGCAGAGGGAAAGCAGGGAAGATTGTCTCCCCAACACAAGAAAGATGTGGATCTGCTGGAATGAGTGTGGAGGAGGCCATGGTGGGGCTGGAGCCCCTCTGCTCTGGAGCCAGGCTGGAGGAGCTGGGGGTGCTCACCTGGAGAAGAGAAGGCTCCAGGGAGAGCTCAGAGCCCTTTCCAGGGCCTAAGGGGGCTCCAGGAGAGCTGGAGAGGTACTGGGGACAAGGGATGGAGGGACAGGACACAGGGAATGGCTTCCAAGTGCCAGAGGGCAGGGATAGATGGGATATTGGGAAGGAATTGTTCCCTGTGAGAAGGCAGAAACCAAGAGATATTCATCCTAAAATAATCAAGGAAGACACAAAATGCTACAGAAGCAAATCAGTGTTAATGTTTCTGGTTTTCCTTAAGTGTAAAGATCCAAAAAAATTTAACACCCATCTTTATATATCTTAAAGGAAGGAAAGCAGCCTTTTGTCTTTGCCTTGACCTTATATTAATTTTAATAATGATATTAATGGCTGTTTAATTCTAGGAAGGGTATTTCCTGAGTTATTGCAACTGTTGGAGCATCACAGCAGGGCTGCTCAGGGCCAGCAGAACTTGAGAACAGTGCTTGAGAGAGCACTGACTGTAAAAGAACTTCAAACAACAACTGGGAGCAATAGAAGTAATCAGGCAAATATCAGAGAAAAATACATTGGTATTTAAAATGCTTCAGTTCTCCTGGTTAAAAAAATTAAAAATCTATTATTCTTCCTTCTCTAGATATATTACTGAAAATTAATAACCTGCATGTGTAGCTGCATTTGAAACTCATTTTATATATTACTTGCTCTGTCTGCTTGTGTTGCTGCCAAGACAAGGTTGTTCTTATGTAAAATTCTTTCATATTTCCCACAGGTTCTCTGAAAAGAAAAAATCACTGAGACTCAATGCCCTGAGGTGGAAGGGACCCACAGAGACCACTGAGTCCAACTCCTGGTCCTGCATGAGATAACACAGCAATGTCAAGGCCAGGTTGGATGGCTTGGAGCAGCCTGGGATAGTGGAAGGTGTCCCTGGCCATGGCAGGGGTGGCACTGGATGGGCTTTAAGATCCCAACTCATTCCATGATCAATACTTCGTGCAGCTTTGTCACTAACCCTATCCACTGGATAAATTAATTCTCTCCCTTGGAAATCAAAGAGGAAGTAAAGAAGAGGCTTGGGAAGTCTTATGTAAAGAACTCTCAGCTCCCTCTGTTTAAGTTCCTCATCTCAGCTTTAGTTTGCTCAGGTCTTAAGGTACTTGCATAGCTTAATTTAATTTATGCCATTTAAACAGAGCACTTAATTATATCAGCAGTTGGCAGTGCTGCTCTACTGAAAGGTCTGTTTGCAATGTCCCATCTATAAATTAATTTCTGCAAGGTTTATAGCAGGACTCTGTTATAATTCCCACAGGGTTTCAATTTAGAGTGGGTTTTGTTATTTTTTTTCCTTAGACACACAGTTAAGTGAGCACTTTCTTCCTGCATTTACCTGAGGACATGGAGTCATTTTAATTTTTCAATTAGCAGGCAGAATTCATTATGATTAACCAGGGTTACCAGTGGGAACTTGGATGCACCAGCACAGAGGGGGTTTATCTCAGTGTCTCATCAGAAACCCTTAAATTTAGATATATTCCTAAATACATGAATTTACTGAGGTACAAAGAAACATCAGGACACTGAGACCTGCAGAAGTTAATGACCAATTCCTCTGCTAATAATCCCACCCTGAGCCCCCATCGAGCCCTGTGAGGAGCAATTTTAGGTTTTGGCCATTTTATATGGGAGCTCTGTGCAATTGCTGTACTCCCAGCTGGAATTCTGGGAATTCTCCTGCCCACACCATGTTAGAAGCACTCTGTGAATACCTGGCACGTGGATTGAAACACAGGCACTTCAATATGGTTTTCTCTCACATCCGTGTTACTACTGCATCATTCCATGGCTTTGGAAATGGCTGTGCATGAGCCAGGTGATGCCAAAGGAACAGGAACCTGGAATCTTTCCACCCAAGGAGGAGGCTGATCCCCTCTGGCTACAGGCTCTGTGTCAGAGAATGCCAAAATGGTTTGGGTTAAAAGGCCCTTAAAGCCTATCCCATTCCACCCCCTGCCATGGGCAGGGATTCCTTACACTATCCCAGGTTGCTCCAAGCCCCATCCAGCCTGGCCTTGGACACTTCCAGGAATGGAGAATCCAAAAAACTCTGTGTTATATTTATAAACCTGATCCTTGCCCACCTTGACTATTCCTATCCAAAGCAACATCCGAGATCCCATTAATCTGATCAACCAAGAAACTGCTTTGCTTTAAACAGAACTGAACCTGAGGGTTTCCCAAGCAATCCAGATCTTCAGTAACTCCTGCTGATTCCCACCCTGTGCCCTCATTCCGTAACTTCCACTCAGCTCCCACAAAAGCCAGATCCAACCTAATTTTCCATCTGCCTTCCAACCTTTGATTTCTAACAATGCCCATAAATTGATGGTGAAACTTTAATGGATAGAGATCTTCTGCAGGAATTTGGGATTTAAAATGATAAATCACTCTATACGTTGTGATGTTTTAGTGACAATGGGCTCTTGTGCTCCTTAAAAAGAATCAATTTGCCTAAAGTGAAGCCTTGAAAAGCAGATGGTTTTCAGACTCTCAGGTCTTTATCTCGAACTTTATTCGAGAGATCCTATAACTAATTCCTACAAAACCTAAGCCTGCAGCTTAGCTTTCCTTCTGTAGCTGAAGGAACCAAAAAGATCAAGGGAGACAACTGGAGGCACAATGGAAATTAGAGGGAAAAGAAGTATTGGCTAAAAAGTCCATAATGACCTTGGTGAGAACAGAAGAAAGGTTAGAGGTGTTGTACTGTTACTACTTGGTTACTATTCTTCTGGAAATGCCTGACTTTCACTCTGAGTAACATTACATCAAAATCTGGCAGAGCAAAGAATGCCATTAACTTTCAGCCTCTTGCTGTTCCTCCTATCCCTCTTCTTTTTGGTTCAGATGAGGAATTCCTTTCCCTCTGAGCTCCCCTCTCCCATTTCCATGGTGTGGGGAATGCTCATCCCTGTCACAAAATGCATTTTGATTTCTCTGTGCACTGGGCATTCACCATCTTGAACAGAACAGAGTCTTCCAGAGACGTGAGAAAAAAACAGATCAGAAAAAAATCCACTTCCAAACCTATCTGAAGTCAGAACAAAAACAAGGAGAAAATAATAATGAAATTGCGATTTATTTTTTTTTGTATTCATTGATCTAAATAAGTTTGTCTCAATTTAAGGAAAAAAAAAAAAGGAACAAAGAACCCCCAAAATAACAAAACTGCAACTACTCTAAAAGAGCAAACTGTACCTCTTCCACGTCGTTGTCCAGCACCACGACCTGCAGGGGGGAGGTCAGGTTCCGGTTATCTGAGATGGTCGTTCCCACTGGAGAGGATTCCAGGATGAAGCCCTCATAGGTAGACCGTGTGAAATAAGGCTTCTGGTTGTTCTCATCCAGGATCTCGATGTGGAGATTGGCAAAGGCAGGGAGAGGATGGCCATTGTCTTGTTCAGCCTAAAAAATCACCTCATTTGTCAAAGGTTCCCTGTTCTGATCAGGGACTGGGGATGTTTCTACATAAGAGTCAGAATCCATTTTAAAAATGGATTTTTTTCTCCTATCCCTGTATTATGGAACTTAACATTATGAAAAAGAGAAATACCGACTAAAAATTAGCTAGGAGAAAAGAACAGGAACACATTCTTCCATCACAGTCACATTTACATAGCCACAAGATACCCAGAACTTGTGCAATCACAACACCTTAAACTCTCTTGAAACTTTTGGAAAAAGCTCTGAGGGATGAAAGAAAACTGGGAATGCTGATTGTACAGCAGAATCCACAGCAACAGCAAGGAAGTTAAACCCAAAAGGTAGAAACAGCACATGTGGACACATTTGCTTCCTCTTCTCCCAGATCTACCTCTTAAGGGTTACATGAGTGGGTTTTTAATTTGGATTTTGCCTATTTTTGAATCCCAGGCTGGTTTGGATTGGAAGTTTATCCCATTTCACCCCCTGCCATGGGCAGGGACTCCTTCCACCACCCCTGGGTGCTCCAAGCCCCAGTGTCCAACCTGGCCTTGGACACTTACAGGGATCCAGGGGCAGTCACAGCTTCTCTGGGCAACTTGTCCCCAGGGAAGTTGTGCATGTGTGTCCAGCAACACTCTCTGCTTCCATGAATAACCCCCACATCTCAATGGAAGCTCTCCACCACCCAATAGTCATTCCCTGATATTTTGCACCTGATTTTTTCTTATTCTCAAATAAGATAATAACTTCCTAAAGATAAAAGCACTAATTGCCCATTCCCGGGTGCTAATCAGATGAAAACCTATGATCCTGCTTTCTTTTCCCTTAACTTCCCAACCATCAACTAATTTGAGCAAAGGCACAAGGGAATTAGGAGACAAAAAGTAATTTGGTCTCCAGTTTATAAAAAGCAAAACAGGTTTAATTACAGTCCTGCACAGTACACTGCAGCAAGACAGCAGTAGGGCATTGCAGGAGTTTTCTGTTCCCATAGACAAAACTTGTATTCCTAAAATCCAGATGCACACAAACCCTGGATCACAACACAGAGAAAAGGACCTAAATTCCTGTTGTTAACAGGACTTTCTGTTTGCAGAGGTTTTACTTATAATCTCATATTTCCCTCATTTAAAACAGATAATTCCTTGTTTTTCAAATCAAGAGTCCAAGGAACCTTGGTCTGAAAACACCTCTTTGACTTCATTAAAGTTTTAATTTTTTTTTTTATTTAAACACCTTTTCTTGATCTGAAAAATGTTAATTGTCTTTGTTTATAAACCAGCAATAGTATCTTGGTAATGATAAAAGTCTCTATTAAAAAAAAGTATTAAAAACTTCTATTTCAAATAAAAAGAAATATAAATATAAAAATTGTTATTTTCTTCAAAGGAGGTGATGACACCTTAAGTAAGCCATAAAAAAAATCATTCTCAGTTTTTAGGAAAAAATGGATTATTTTTCTAAATTGGATTGGATTACTCTTACTCTTGAACAACAGAAAAAAATGCCCCAGGCTCCAGTCCAGTTGATGTTCCACTGAATGAAAACAAACTTCATGCGTCAAAACCAACATCATTAAAATTACCTGGCAGGGCTCTGGCTACTCACCCCGGAAACTCCAAAAATGTCCTGAGATGGAATTTTTGCCCAAGTTAAAATACTGAAAGCATGAGAGAAAATCCCAGAACAGTCTACTCCTCAAGCAATACATGCAGCTGGGATTTTATTTCATAAGCAGATGTATCATGGAATCAGAGAATCCTGGAATCTTTTAGGCTGGAAAGACTTCCAGGATCATGGAGTCCAAGCTGTGCCCAATGCCCACCTTGTCCCCAGCCCAGAGCACAGAGTGCCACGTCCAGCCCTTCCCTGGACACCTCCCGGCATGGGGACTCCAAACCTCCCTGGGCAGCCCCTGCCAAGGCCTGAGCTCCCTTGCCATGGAGAAATTCCTCCTGGTGTCCAACCTGAGCCTCCCCTGGCACAGCTTGAGGCCGTTTCCCCTTGTCCTGTCCCTGTTCCCTGGCAGCAGAGCCCGACCCGCCCTGGCTGTCCCCTCCTGTCAGGGAGTTGTGCAGAGCCAGAAGGTTCCCCTGAGCCTCCTTTGCTCCAGGCTGAGCCCCTTTCCCAGCTCCCTCAGCTGCTCCTGGGGCTCCAGCCCCTTCCCCAGCTCCGTTCCCTTCCCTGGACACGCTCCAGCCCCTCCAGGGCTCTCCTGAAGTGCTCCTCCCCACGGGACTAACAATGGTTGTCCATCATTAAAAACTCTTTTCTTCTGCTCTTCCAAGTAAAATCGGTCCCTTCTGAGCCCAAAGTTTCCATGCAACCCCTGCAAGTTACTTTATAACAGCCCTTAATGTTCCTTACTATAAAGAGATCGTAAAAAAAGAAAAATGCAAACAACAGAGAATCTCAATCTTCTGAACAGCTTGAAACACCACAATAATGGCCTTGCTTTAATGTCTAAGTAGGCCTGGAAGTCATTCTGGGATAAAAGGAGGAATATTTACCCAGGAAGGTGTTGCAGGGTTTGCTGAAGTGCTGGGAATTACACATGGCCAAACACAAAGAGAGTCGTTTGCTCTCAGAATTGGACTTCAAATTTGAAACTCTGGAGCCCAAAGTGACAAAGCAAAGGAGTCCTTCCTCACTGAGCACTTCCACTCAAAATCACTTCAGCTTTCCTTCGTGTTCACCAGTCAAAATTATGGATTTATTTCATTTCTTTTTTCCAAAGACACCTCTATTTAAGGAAAAAAAGAAATCTTTGCAAACAGCCACTTATTTTTGCCTTTTGTTTGAAACAAGGAATTTCATATTACAATGCGAGGAAATGATTTGCTTTCAGGTGTTCCGTGAAATCAGTCCTAGAAGCAACACTTGACTATGAGCAGAGTTCAAAACAAACCCTTCATAATGCTCCAAAAATATAAAAAGCTGTAACATTGGCAATTTTTGCTCCCGTGCCCTATTTCTTGGGGTTTTTCTTTGTGTGGTGGTTTGGGGTGTTTTATTGTTTTTCTATTTTGTGGTGGTTTGGGGGTGGGTTTTTTTGTTATTTTTGGTTTTGTTGTATTTTTTTTTTAAGAGATGAAGTCATACCTCATGAGAGTTGTTCCAGACATTGAGTGCTATTAGTGCAAACCCTTTTCCCTCACATTGCCCTTTTAAAAACTTGCCTGGCCTTGATGGCCACAGGTTAAGCTTTTTTGTTTTCTAAACAGCAAACAATTTACACTTTCTTCACCCAGAAAGCCACCCGTATCTAAGCCAGAAAACATTTAGGTTCCAGTCCTTCAAAGAAAATGCTTTAGTGTGAAAATAATGAGGGATCTCTCAACCCCAGGTATGTGACCCTCACATTTTTACCAAGACACAAAAGAAGCAGTGTAGGATTCTGGTATAACTCAGTAGTTAAGATTGGCTAAAAAAAAAAAAAAAGAAAAAAATATGTGAAATGTGTTAATTCTCACAGATATTTAACTGCTTTTATTGCATCATCTGTGCTGAAGTCTGCTTGTATCTGTAGTGTCCATAATTTTATCCTGATGGAAGATGGCTGGAGATGACAGGAAAGCAGGTCCAGGAGGGATGTAAGGAGTGAGGAATGGATGGCTGTGGGAATTAACAGGACCAACAGGAACTTCACTCCTTCGAAGTAGCAGGTGAAACAGCTCCCCCCAAAAATGAGAAATTAGAGCAATGCAAAAGGCTCCCTCATGGAAGCACAGAGAATTCCAAGCTGGAAAGGACCCACAGATTTCATTGAGTGCAATTCCAAGCTGGCAAGAGCCCACAGGGATCCTCAAGTCCAGCTCCAGGCCCTCAGTGCTATCCAGAGCTGGAATTTTTTCCAGCCAGTTCCCACTATCCCCTCTCCCCCCCAAAGCAGCAGGTCCTGTCCTAACATCCTAACATCTAAGAGAGAGCAAAAGGTGGTTCCCTTAGATAAAATTCAGAGCTCCCATTTCCCCATGGAATCACGGAATCCACTTCAGCAATTCTCCATCCAAAATGTCTGTCCTAAGGTGCAAGGAAAGGGAATTGTTTTATCTAAGACACATCCAAGCTGCTCCTTTTCTCCAGGACTACAGAGTTTCTGAAGTGTAAAACAGGCTAATTAGGAATAAATTTTTAAAAAACACTGAATAGGGAGTTTGCCTTCATGCCAGATCTTTTAGTTGATAAAAATGGGAAGGTCCATCCCTAGAAGCAAAGAAAAACACAACCCCCCATTCCCAAAAACCCCAAACAAAACAAGACAAAACAAAAAACAAACCCCAAAACAACATTATAATAATAAAATAAACAAAGAAACAAATAAAAAACCCAAAAAAGTTCTTCCCCTCCAATCCCAACAGGAAGATGAGCAAGTGGAGCTGAGGGGAGGGCAGTGGATGAGGATAAATGTGAACTTCACACATCCTAAAAAAATTGGGATGTCAGGATTTATTCCTGGTGAGGGGCTATACACAAATCCGTGTGGAAGAGTAGCAGGGGAAGTTGCAAATTGAGGTCCAAGAAGATCTCAGACTTAAGGAAAACAAAATTAGGTGTCAGGGGGTGGAACCAGATGGGCTTTAATGTCCCTTCCAAGCCAAACCATCCTGGGATTCTGTGATCTATTATTTAAATGGATGTGATTAAAATCGGGAGCAGCCACCAGGGAGAGAAGGAAGGAAGGGCAGGGTGACAAAGTGGCTCCTTTGAACGGGAGATCACTCAGGATAACTGAAGAGGGAGGGCAGGGAGAAAAGAGGGACAGCATTTATCTGGATTTAGGCTAAACTTTAGGATTGGGGAATAATTCCCAAGGTCAGCATGTATAGCACACAGAAAGAAGCACTGAACTGGATTAAAACTTGGCTTAAGGACAAGGAACACAGAATATCTTTAGAGCACAGAAGGAATGTGACTTTCCTGTCAGTGACTTTGCTGTCACTGTGGCAGGGAAATTAAATCAGCACAAAATGTGTCTG